CGGCAACATTCTTGTCAGACATTCTGACATCTGCACTGATGGAGTTTCGGACACTCGTAATGGCCATGACATCCTCAGGGCCAATCGAGTGAGAACGGAGAGCGCGATCGAATTCGGTAATGGGCATCGAGAAGGACCGTTTTGGTTCGATGCTCATTTGGTTTGATCGCTCCCATGTCGGATCCTGGTGCCGCCACATTAGCTTACTCCCAGGCGTATGAACTTGGCAGGAAATGAACATACGCTTCTATGCTGCTTATTAGATAAAAGGGTAGAAGCATCAGAGGCTTTCCAATCAGGCAGGCCGGCCTTTTCATTGGTCTCTGATTTCTTCTTCCGACCGAATAGTTTGCCTAATGCTGACCTGATAGTGGACTTTTTCCGCTGAGGTTTGCTGTTCTTGCTAGCCTTGCTGTCTCTGCCGTCTGCTTGATCTGATATCCGCGTAAATCGGTCATGTTGGCTGACAGAAGACCCTCGCAAGGTGGATGCCCGTCGTGGAGCTGATAATGGGTGCTGCCGCTGGTGTGCAATCAATGGGTCTATATTTCCAGCGGAAACAGCTCTAAAATGAGAGGCTTTATAACTCCGGTTACTGCTGGGCTCTGGCGGTATCAAATGGGAGTCACTTGAAGCTTCGTCGGCGTTTCTAGCTACCGTGGCTGTCTGGTCTCGCATGGGGAACTCCTCATCCATAGGATCAGGGATAGGAATTGGTCCAGAGATGTGACCTCGGATAGACTTGGATGATGCAGCTCGAGGCTTTTGGCCATTGCCACCAGTAGCAGGTTTCCACGGCATGGTGTAGGAAAGGAAAAACTGTGCCGGTGACCCAAGGGATGACCAGCAAAGGCGAAGAGAAGAGATGGGAGTAGACAAATTCCTGGGGCGCCTGCCTGTAAGAATAGGACGTAGATGGAACGCGGAAATTCAGGGCCTGGCAATTAATCGGTTGTCGAGAGGAAGAGAAGACCAAACAGGCAGCTCTATGTTCAGCCGACAATCAATGGGGAGTTCCTACCTCACCATGCCACATGGTACAAAGGATACCCAAGGGTCTTGATGAGGGCAAACGCGGACAAGACGAGCAGACAAACCCGAGGGGCAGAAGCGAACAAACGAGCGCAAGAATAAAGAGTTCAAAAGGCGGGCAGTCGAGGAATGCTGGTCAAAGGGAAGGAAAGAATCTACACCAGGCGAGCAACGAGTCGTGGCGTCATGATTGAAAAGCGAGCATGAATGACAGACACGGCAGGGCAGGGCATCTGGTGATGCGCCTCTGGTGGGCTCTGGCCCCCTGCGCGACTCTTGGTTGTTGTCGTTGTTGTCGTGGTCGTGGTCGCGGCCAGGGTATGTTCGTGATGGTGTTGCTGGTCCCGGGTCGAACCAACGGCCAAAACAAACCAACGAGTCAACCAGAGGCTACTATCCAAAGGGAAAAGGAGAATGAATGGTGCAGAACGAAGCTCGCCAGTCATGCGCCTAGTGGTTCCTTAAGTATATGGGCTATGCCACCGGATGAATTACAGTCGAGGGGCACAATGGCCATTGGACAAGGCACGCTGAAGAAGGGAAAGAGTGAAACATGGCTGCCACGTCTCCAGGCACGACAGGCATGTTGAGATGCAGACGAGGACTGCTTGACACGCCAGGCCATGCCGAGCCATACCAAATGGCATGAAGGCCGTGGGCCTGCAGGAGTCGCATAGTACTAAGCACGTTGATGCGTACATACAGGCAACTCGATAACAACACATGAAATAGGCGTTGCACCAAGGAGGTGTGCGGACTTGAGTGGGCTTGGGCTGGAAGTCATGGCTGCATGGCCATCATGAGCGTGCCAGAACAGCCAAGAATGGGTCAACGACGAATCAAGGACGGCGAAAGTGGAGGTAAATGAGGCAAAACTTGGAGGATAGCCCGAGTGTCAAGTGTCTCGACTAGCAATAGTCGCTGGCTGGCGCGCCGAGCTATGAAGTCACCAAGGCCGTATCGAGCGGATTGCAACCATGGGCGGAGAGCAAGCGAGTGGGGTCGACAGACGGTCAATCAGGCGCATCGATTCCCGGTCGTTTCTGGCGTCTTGGGCTGACAGGGGAGGAAGACGTTTAGAGGTTGGAGACGGTGGGTGGCTTGCGCCAGGTACCAGTGTACCAGTGTACCACAGTCTGGTCCAGCAGGACATGAGTCGGAGGGGCTCCCCTCAGCCGGCGCCAATCTTCAATGTCGACGATGATGTCCGTGGTGGATGGTAGATACTTGTGGTAGACGACGCGCGAGTCGGAAATGTTGTCATGCTGGAGAGAAATGCAGCGACAGAGTTGATTAACACACTTGACTTGACTTGTTCTTGCACGCGGCCATTGGGGCCAAGAGTGCACAGGGCACACCCCAGGGCATCAACACGGCCATTGCTCCTTCTTCCTCTTGGGGGCCACCCAGCTGTCATCTTTCTGTGTCTCTTCCTCCTCTGTTTACTACTACTCCCGTCCCGGATCAATTGTTGGTCTGCAGCGTGCACCAGGTTTATTCTTACACGTCAGAAAAGAAAAACCACACACATGCACGTCTTCCTCAAACGGTCTACTGCGTCGAACGTGCAGGCGATACCCCTCGAATGTGCATTCCACGGACGTTGCAGACGAGGCTCTGTCTCTCCGTCGTGCGAGATCGAGGGACCGTCTTACCGAAGGGGGCATCAGACCCACAAACAGTGCGTGAGTCCCTCTCGTTACTCCGTACTTGCCACGGGAATCAATCACCCAGCAATGCCTCCAGCCACTGTGCAAGACAGAGCACAAGAAGCCTCATGGTGAAAAATGTCGACCCGGAGGTGCACAACATTGCAGATCCTCCGATCGCCATGTCTCAGTCATCATGACCAAACGCGCTCACTCTGCCATCAACAAAATGCAGGTCTCTCCGTCGCGCAAAGGAGCCCACTACGTCCCGAATTTTCCAAATTCCCTTCAACGGGCATCACCCTTGCAGTGTTCCCCATTCCATCCCCCAGGGTCTCCCGTGAGCCGGTCACTGGTGACATCCCCCCGTCGTTCGCCAACAATGACGAACACCTTGCTCCGTACAATACCCCGTAAAGATACCCGGCATCAAAGGGGACCACAAAGACATGCTGTACCAACCAAGTACCACATCATCGACCAAAAAAGCATAAAAATGAAAGAATCTTCCGGGTTTACATGCATACAAACAATGGCGGTGGCGCAAAATATCCCGGGCTGGGACCTCTTCTCCCGCCTCACATAATAATATCTAGGAAGTATACTGGACGATCTGTGGCATTACGGAAACCGACATACGTGTCCATACACGTGCATTGATTGATTACCCATCGGCGTCTTTGCATTGAGCAAAGCCTCCCTTGTCCCCTTGTTCGCCCGGGCTCTCCGAGGCTGACCTTTGGTTCAGAGGTTAATACTGGTAGTCGTTACTGACGCCAAGTCTGACGGGCACCCCCATTCACTCACCTCTCAGCTGTCTGCCTGGAGGCCTTGCGCAGCTGGTCCATCTGATAGGGCACAGGCTGCGTTGCGGATGGATTTGTTTTGGCGCGGCGTCCGGGGCCGTTCGAGATGTGTGCCTATGGTATGTTGTTGGGTCACATTTCGGGTGGGCTATCTCACATCCCAAGTTGCTTGTTATTATGTATTACTGCCGAGAGGAATTCGCAACATAATCATAACTCGACGGCCAGGCTGGTCGGTCCGGAGGTCCATGCTCACCATCCTGGCGCAGTCAGTCCCATGATTGGGTGCCTCACATGCCGTCGCGAATAGCGCATCTTGTCTCTCTATTGTATCAGACATTGTATCTCGCATGGTTCATGGCCTCGCACCAGCTCGGCGCCCCTAGTCATGTCCTCGACGGATATGCATATGTACATTGTACAACACACAGCACAGTACAGATAGGCGAATGTCACGCAAACCCACCAATCGGCCTTGACTTTTGTTCAGGTACACAGGGACACCCTGGCCATGACTATTTATTCACCCATCATTTATGACTTATAACCGAAAAGATTGCCAGTCAGACATCAAATTGATGTACAACGCAAAGCACACAGCTTGACATGGCGTGAGAAATGCATCGTTGTGCCCAAATTTCCACCAACCACCCAATGGAATATACGTCCAGTTTACGATTCGTAAGCTGCCTGGACGTCTCGTTTGCCAACACCACCCACGTTCAATCTACATCGTCGCCGCGATAATCAAACGTCACAGCCAACCCTAAGCTGACGTGCAGCCTGCCTCGGGTGTGCGACTCCGTGTGCTTGGCCTCGTGGCTGAGCATCCTTTTTACGAGCTCTAACACTCTTTGCTGCATGACACAAATTACCCGGTGTTCTGAAGAGGAAATCATATTGGACAAGGGAGAAGTTATATTCAAGTGCATGAGATACAGTAGTTGCCACTGCGGACCTACAGCCAGGCCAGTCTACCAACAACGTGGCCAATCACAGGCGTTGGATGCGAAGCGTCAAGTGTTGTCAACTTGCATTCATTCATGCCCTTTGCCCTTCTTTACATGATTGGTATATGGTTCTTCAGCCAGTACTTCCACCACCCCTGACTAGCTGTCTGTACGTATGTACATAGTGACATCGACCAAATCCACGCATTCTCAACACGAAATCCCGTCATCAGACTACGGTACAATGCAATCATCGACCCGTATGACAAACTCCCCCACCCTTTTCGAAGAACAAGATTCGTCTCCCCGTCATAAGACGACTCCTGCACGTCCCGTTCCACAGCGAACACCACCTGAAACCAAACCAGGGATCCCCTCCTCCCGGCTCACACCCACCCCTTGCCGATTTTCCAGAATCCAATACAAGACCCGATCAACTGGTTCCGTCGCTTGACCGCCCACTAGCAGGCCCTTTGTCTTTCCGCATTTGGATGTAATCTTCCCCCGTTTCAGTCAAGTTTAAGGGAACTACACCTCCTTGCGACGCCATGCGAGTCGGGCCATTAGTTGACAATGGAGGATATGTCAGGATACCGGAGGTCGGCGTTATCTTCGAGGAATTCCATCCATTTTTTGAGAAAGTTGCTCCCCCTGGTAATTGGGTCAGTATGTACACTTCACCCCATAAAGTACATTCTTGCAGACGCTCGAGACTGAAGGTCCCCCACGCCCAGACCGTCGTCTGGAGTTGAATCGCGGCGACCCCTCCATGTCGGGCTTCTTACCTCTTTACGGTCTCCGAGTCTCCAATTACAGTGAGCGATCGCCTCGGACGAGTCATGGCCACTGCAAGGAAGGGAGGAAGGTTAGAGTGGTTTCGCGCACAATATGACGACTGCAGTTACAGGGGGCTGGGGAAGAAGAAGAGGGGTTAAACTCACCGTTTAATCTTCTCTTTTCACCGAGAAACCCTACTTCACCGTCGGGGTTGCTCCGCACGAGGCTGACGATGACCGCCTCCTTCTCGCGGCCTTGGAACCCATCCACACTGCCTAGCTCTATGCCTGGGAACTTTTCTTTCAAGGGCGCTAGCACGCCCAGCTAGCTCATGCAAGTCAGATCCCTTTCTTCCGAAAGCCAACGATCTGATCTGGCTTATAAATGATCTTACCTGGGCATTATATGGGGTCACGATAGCAATATCCTCCGGACGAACGCCTGCGCCAACCAACTGTCCCGCATGCTGCAGTACCAATGCTGCTTCCATCTCGTTGCTCTTGCTCTCACTATGCAAGCTTCCCCTCCCTTTCTTGGGATTGTCCTTGTCGTCTTCCTCACTCCTTTCTGGAAAATCACCCCCTTGGGTGTCGATAAAAATAAGCGGCGCGCTTGTGTCTTCGTTATCTTGGACTCCGTATTCTAAATCTTTCAGTAGCCTGGCCTTGACGGCATCTGCTGCAACAAGCTTCGACCCATAGAGCTCCTCTGAAGGGAACCGCATAATCTCTTCATGCATTCGATACTGTGTTGTAAGCATCCTCTTGATGCTTGGGCCATGCAGCGCCAGCAATCTATCAAAAAGCGTCGTCTCAAGAGTCATGCCCTTGATAATCGGGAGCCTTTCGTCTTTGGGCCTCGGGTTTGCCTTTGAATTGAGCGACTTTATCGTTGGGGGTAGTTGTAAATGATCCCCCGCGCAGACAGCTTTCCTTGCAGACAGCAGTGGTACCCAGCATTGCGCCTCCAGCGCCTGACTGGCTTCGTCAATAACGACGACGTCAAATTCCTCATTGCGTAGTTGAAAGCCTCCGGAACCATGTAGTGTGGCTAGAACAACTTTGCTGCCGCTGATGAGGTTGCTCACACATTTGCGCTCCCGCTCACGGTACTCTTTTCGTAGTTCTTTGAGATCAGAGTAGATTTCTCGTCGTTCCTTGCCGCTTTTCGTCTTTTTGATGGATGCCTGTTTGGCGTCCATTTCCGCCCTGACATCTTTAACAATGGCCCCTGCTTCCGATGTATTGGTGAGGACGTCTAAAGAGTGGTGAAGGACAGAAGGGAGCAGACGCGCCGGGTGGCCTAGTCGGAGAATGGGGAGCTTATGGGGCGAAAGGCGCTCCACGATGTTGTCGACGGAAATGTTGGATGGGCCGCATACGAGGACTCTCTGCTTTCGTTTGACCATTTGCAGAATGAGCTCTATGAGGGTGTGCGTCTTGCCAGTCTGGTACAAGTTAGCATTGCCTCCTCGAAGATGGTGTATTGCCTTGTGTGGTGATGTTTTACTCCTGGTGGACCATGGATTAGAGCAATCTCCCTCGAAGCCAGTGCAAATCGAATCGCATCCTTTTGTGAGTCGTTCAAGGTAGGATCAGTCCATTCAATATCGCCAGCCTGAGGATCCCTCGACAAATCTTGGGGGAGAGGCGACGGGCTAGAAAGACCAAACAGGACTCTCATAAAGCTCGAATACTCGGCCTCGACCAGGCCCTGCAGCTTTTCCATGGTCTGGTTCATACTGTCGCCACATGTCAATAAGAAACAACAAAAAAATTGGACGCTCACGACACAAGGTCCTTCCTCACCGTCTGTACGTCACCTCATCCGCCAACTTGACCAGCCACACCCTCCCTGGAAACGACACCTCGTCCTTGCCATCATCCAGAGCCACATTGACGAATCCCCTCTGCACCTTGGTGACAACCCCCCTCGAGCCCTTCCTCTCCAGTTCCCTGACTTCTCTCTTCTTAGCACTGCCGGCGGGCTGCTCGGCCACCAGGACTATGTCGCCTGTCCGGACGCCATGTTCAGGCAGCTCTCCCGTGGCGGATGTAGCACTGTCAGGGCCCAGCTCGAGAACAGTCTTGCCCCCCAAGCCTGTCCGCTGGGAAGAAACCACCAGATTGGTGATGGCCAGCCCTGCGCGCTGTAGGCCGGCAGGGCTGTGGTTCGAGATGAGCTGGCTGGTCTCGTCGACTTCGCTCTTGAGCTCCCTGTCGAGGAGGGCGAGCTGGGTGCTTGCAAAGGATGGGACGTCGACGGCATCTTTGGACGGCATTGCTGGCTTCTTGACGCACCCGGCGGAGGTGTTGGCCACGGAGGTTTGGTTTAATCCCCTTGGGCGCAGGCAAGCAAGCGATGGGCTGGTTGGTGGTGGAGGGGCACCGAAGCTCACGGTTAACCCCACCATGCAGTGAAGTGAAGCAACACAAGCTCCATGTCTCTCTCCTGTGTGTGCCATGACATCACCCCCACTCGCGGTCTCCTGCAGCCAAGACTGTTGTTTTATTCACCAAAGACAAAAGATAACTTCGCATCAAGCTCAATATATAACAGGTATCAGGATATCAACATGCACATGGCGGATTATACAATTCATGCCCAGTGTTAAACCAACCGCTGGCTGCACCAGCATCCAGCCCAGAGCGCAATTTACAGCTCTTCATCAGATGGATGAATAACAATGACAACCACCAACGAAGCCAGCATAATGGCCAGCGCAACCAATGCAATCAATATAATCGTCCCGCGACTGGCCGGGAATTTCCCCTTAATCACCCACTCCTGTCCGCGAAAGTACCTCCTAGCTCCCAGCAGCAGCGTGAGGATGCTGATGCCGAGGAATGCCGAGCCCAGCGGCTTGCCCAGCCGTCGAAGGGTAGCACTGCCAGAGTTGCCATTGCCGTCGGATATCGTCGTGTTGAGCCGGAAGAGTTGTGTGACGGCCACGCCGATTGATGCAAACGCCAAGGACGTGCGTAACCAGGCGAGGAATGTTCTTTCTGCGTGCACACAGCGACGTTAGACAAGATGACGGCACCGTTGGGCTGGATCTCGAGTCTTGGCTACGAGTGACGGCATACCTAGCGCGAGATGGTCTCGTGCGACACTTCCTTTATTCTCCAGCTCGACGGACTGCAAGGCCCCCAGCTTTCGTCTCAGCCACGACCTGGATTCCCTTTCGCTTTCGGGACTCTGATTCGGGGCGTCTTCCGCGGGACCATCCTCTGCGGCCGGCCGTGATTGTCTCGAGTAGATGGACGGCCTGGAGCGGGTCGTCCCGACCATGTAAAGCGCCTGGTAATTCTGCCCTGACCCCCGGGACACAATGCCCGTCAATTCATCGGGCGCGGGCTCATCCTCGCTCGCTGCTACAGCCTGAGGTGATAGCTGTCGACTAAATTGTGCCGGGTCCGTACTCATGGTATCGGCTCGATCGCGGCCACTCTGTAGGTGTTGCCAGTATGTCAGTCAGCCAACGCCCATAACTCTCGGTAACAGCTGTCCATCTGTGGAGTACTGAGACGAGGCAAAAAAAGAAAGAAGAAAGAAGAAAAAAAGGAAACGAAGAGACAGCTTTCACCCACCTCGAGAATCTCATTGATGCGCTCGGTCGTCGACTGCCGCCGGAACGACACGCTGCGGGACCGAGCTGTTGGCCTACTAGCGCCTCCATCCGCGCTCCTCTGCGAGCTTGGATTGTCGCCCATGGCTTGCCGACAGGGACCTCACGTCTCTTGAAAATCGATCGTCCTTCTCATGAGCCTGCGTGTGGGCACGGCCTCGTCCCTGGAAGCGTTCCAACGTTGGTTGGCGGCCCTGTGATTGGCGAGACGGATCTGGGGAGATGCAAGATGGGAAGCCCGGCTCTTGGGGGCATGGCGTGCTCCGAGGGCCACGTCGCGTGCGTCTGGGCGAGTTGTGGTCCGTTTGACGCTCGCCATCTGCATGCTTATTTGCCGGTACCAGCCGATGCCATCTGCTTGGTCCGCGTACGGTGGGGGCTGCATCGCGGCTGAATGATTCGACGTCACAACCGTCATGTGAGCAATCAACCTGGGACGCAGTTGGTTTGCTTCCTGCCAGAATTAGGTCACCCTGAATCTTTCTCCTTTTTTTTTCTTCCCTATCTATTGAATGTCTGTACAGCTTACGATGCGCATGCATCCGTCAGAATTGACTTGTATAATGCCACCGCAGTTAGGCGCTGGCCGGCAGAATCCCAAAGGGAGTGACAGGGCACTACGGCAAAAGGTATCTCAACATCATCACTGCCATTATGCCCCCATACACTCTCCGTCCTGCGCAAATCAACGTAGCCAAGGTAAGGCAACGGGTTTGCAGCCAGACTCATCACGTTGGGCTGTAGCGTGTGTATTGAGGCCCGGTACATTGCGCCAAGCTCGCGTTCCAACACTCTAAACTCGACGACTGGTCCATCCTGACTGGCGCCAGAGTAGGCCATCGTGGTGTACACAATGTGGTTCTCACCAGCCTTGACAATCAGATGCCAGCTCTGCCAGCCATCGCCGCCCACTGTGCCAGCAGTCGGCAAATGTATCAACTCAACAGACCCGGCCTCGATCTGCTTCAGCCCGTTGTGAACATGCCATTCAACAAGGGATCCTCTCGGCAGGCTCTCAACCTCAGCTGTAAACAGCGGTGGAACACTTGAGTCAGGTTCGTTCTGTTGCCGCAACGTGTACGCAGACCAGTCCGGAATAGATGGACAAGACGTCTTTGTTTCCGTGGCCCCCAGCACCTGGAATCGTTGATTATACTTCAAATCCCAAGGATCAGGCCCATTATCGTCGTCATCGTCGTTGCAATCTGGCGAGCCATGGGCGAGCTTCCAAGCCTGTCCAGCAAGCACGGCACTCTCCTGTGCGACATTCTCGCCGTGCTGACGAGCAAAGTAGGCCACGGCGCTACTCCAGCACTGAACCTTCATTTCAGCCCCAATCCTCCACAAATGTTGGAGAGAGAGCACTATCTGATGTCGTAGTAAGGTCTTTGATGCAGTAGGTAGCGCCATGGACGCCGGTATAAGCGGAATTTGTCCAGCAACAGTCACCGACCTCAAACGCGTGGGCTCACCGTCCACGGAGACAGCAGCCTCAATGGCTTGACTGTAAGGTCCAATATTGGCGGGTGCCCAATAGGACCTAGACTGAACATGAAGCCCATTTCTTGCGACCTTGGCGTTTGCAACAGGTGCTGTGATGTACATGACAATGTTTCTGTCCTGCGGCAGAAGGTCTCCGCTAGATATCGTAATCCTCGACGGCGGATTCGGCTTTGTGAATAACTTTCCATACTCGCTGTTAATTATTGAGAAATCAGCCATGTTACGAAGGAGAATGAGTACGCTTGTAATTTGGCTTGAGTCCAGCCCGTTTGTCGAGAGTAGCGACTTGATCTTGTCAACCACATGGATGGCCTCATTCTGAATAAATGGTCCGGTTGCCGATGCATCTGCAACGACATGCCAATGCAAGGTGTCCGAGTCTGCTCTGAATTGGACGTCAGACTTAGGAAGGAGCTTCGAGGAGCGGAAGCCAGCGGCGTGTTGAACGGGAGTAGTCAGGTCCAACGCATCCACAACCGACTGGAAGCTCGCCTCGAGCAGCGCGGGCTCACGAACCGAAGACGGCGTTTCCTGCCCATGCACAGCTTTATCTTCAAGCTTTGCTCCGCGAAGCATCAACCAAGTGGACCCTCCACCTTCAGCAATCACCTTCCTGCCACCATCAGGAACAGCAATGCGTTTCTTGAACAATATGTCTGGCCCGTCCACCACGATGGTCTCAAACTCACCGCCCTCGCCAAGCGAGGCACCCTCAGCGGCGCCAAACTTCCTCAAGGAAGACTTTACCCTCCGCACGCCAGTTTCGCTCGTCACCGCCTCCCACAGGTGACGCTCATCCAGGCCGGCGCTCGCAACCTTGATGATCCTGGCCTCCACCCCAGCAGCGGCCATGTCGCTCAACAGCTGGGCCTCATCGGCTAGAGCCCCCGGCACGGATGGCAAGATCGGATACTTCCACAGATACGATAGCGGCGTAAGTCCGAGCCGCAGTGCCACTGACTCGACTCTCGTGCGTTGGTATGTCGACAGGATGGCGCCAGAGCAAAGAGCGTCGGCTTCTGGATGACGAGCCAGGACAGCCCGCAGCAGGGGTAGCATGGACTCGGTCTCGTCAGCGGCAGCAGCCGATCCTTGCCCATGGGCCGACGTGTAGTCGTAGTCTCGTTCATGGCGAAGGGCACTGCCAACAATGGGCTGGCGGTAGAGCGGGAGACCTGTCGCAGAGGCGTAGAGCGGGATTATCTCGTGTCCAACGGTCTGGTACATGAAACTGTTCAAGTCCCTTTCCGAGTCAGGCAACGCGGCAGCGTCATGGCCATCTATTGTTGTTGCCGATGCCGAGTCTACATCATGCCGACCCGGCTCAATGACACGGACCGCAGTAGAGTCGTCGCCGCCGCCGTCAGCACTGATGGGAAAGAGATTCGCCAAGGCGACGATGCGGTGACCATGGTGGATGCAGTGGAGGAGGCTGTAGAAACTGTCTTTCCCACCTGATATCAGGGCAATCACGTTAAGCTTCTCGCCGGACATTACAAGAATGTACTGGCGGCCGAGACGCGTGGAGCTGTGGCCGACAGTTGAGTGTCATTGTTTTGCTGGAAGCGCACGTTTTGCATTTTGCATATTGCACCAGACTTCTTGTCCGTCATTGTGGTCGTGAGTGGATCCCCACGTGGTGTGTGTGCTTTGCTTGGTTCATGCTAGAGGAGGTCATTTGTACAATTGCATTTTCTATTTACTCATGATGGCGGAGGAGATGGGGAAAAAATATTATAAATAGATAAATGAAAATGAAAATGAAAATGAAATAAAATGGTAGTGCTGGTGCCTACGAAGTACCTCGCCGAGTATTCATGCATCAATGATATATGCTTACAATGCAATGCCTTGGCAAGAGCAGCGACTTCCATGAGTCGAGACTGCTTATCGCCGACAGGACCCATCTCCATGTCCAAAAATTCCCTGACATTGCATAAGAATCATCTCCGCCAGCAACCATGATTATATAATGATATTCACCGACACAATTGCGCAACAATACAATGCCATAGCATCCGACGGCCGGTCTAATGGGACTCGATTCAAACAGGTGCAACTCTTATGCAGAAGCCCAATTGCCATCACTCGGCGCCCCTCTCCCCGCCGCGTGATTGACAGCTGCTACCTTTCTTGTATGATGCTCCGTACTACCACGAGCGACCTCGCACGATTCGAGCCAGACGTTGAGAGAGGCAGGAGTGCCAAGTCTCCTCGTGCCCAGGATGCCTTCTTTGGTCCAACATGTTGCCGGTCTCGTACGTACGTACTGCGTACACGCCACGGCCTCGTCGAGTCAGCGCCAGAACGGTGTGGTTGCTTGTCAGGAAAGCCCATCCATTGACCATGCACATGATGATACTCCGTATAGCATGGTAAAACTACGACTCAGTGCCAGTATTACTCTTACGGCGCTTGTACGGAGTAGTACATACATGAGGAAGATGTGGACGACATTTCAACCATTTCAACCTCGACGTGGGTTACAAACGTCTGGGCACGGACTGGCTGACAGATCTCTTGTCAATGTGCCTGACATAGACGTGTCATGGCGAAAATACCTGGCAGGTGAGTCCTGTACCGACCCAAAGACCCAAGGCAATAATAGCAAATGGAAAGCTAATTCAACTGCCGATATTACCAGCATCGTGCGCCGGCACTGGTATACATATGTATGTACTCAGTGTGGTTGTATCGGGGGAAGGGGGGGTGGCAAACGAATAAAAAGCAAGAATAAACGTGATAGACATGACATCGCAGGTGTTCATCACCACTCGTACCACCTCGCCAAGAAGGGAAGAAAGACAAATTGGTCATAGCACCGGGGAAGCTGGAGAGATGGTCCGGCTCGGCCAACTCGACTCTTCTGTCTGCACATTCTGCGGCTGCATGTACTCTGTTCCTCCATTCCCTGTTTGCCACGGGACAGGGTCTCGGAGCCATGGCTGGCACGGACATTCGTCCAACCATCTTCCGACCAGGGTGTCAGGTTTAGATTGCCAGGGTCTTCATCCCAACATTCGTGATTCTGTCTCTCGGATGGAGAACCATCCACAAGTACGGAGTGATACCCTTCTACTCTCACGGGAAGAGTCCAAGGCATGGGGGGAGGGGGGTACATGCGCATAAACCGAGTATACACCCCTCTATTTCCATCCATCCAGGGAGAAGAAAAAAAGAAAAAATACTAGTACCACCGGAAGCGAGTTCCGTTCAAAGTGACGGGCTCTTCATGGGACGTTGGATGCACAAAGGCCAAACACCACGAGGAAATTGAGTGGTTCCCAGACCTACGGCTACGGGGCGTGATATTGTAATACGTCTCATTATACTCCGTACGGAGGACAAGCCGCCATGTAACGGTATGACCGTTTGAACTTTGAAGGATTCACGAAAAACGTGCTCGAAACAGAGTATCATGGAATGTATATACTAATGCCGAGCGCAGAGTACAGAGTGGTTGGCTATTAAGAATGCCCAGGCGGACTGTCGAGCACAAACATGCTGGACGCCCTGTGGTCTTCCAGAAGGACATAGCACTAGTAATTCGCTTTTGTATACGGAGCACTGGCTTCGTGGCCATTGACGACAGGACGGTCGCAGCAACGGTCAACACCACAACTATGTACATTGTATGTACAACCGGGGTCCGTACGGGCTGCAGAATACTGAACTTGCACCAAGGACCCCGGCAACAGCTTCGGCCGATACAAGACTCCGTCGTGCCCGTCTACAGAGGAATCGCCAAATTGGAGCAATATCGCCTCGCCAATGGAGCCGCAGCCAAACGAAGAGCACGGCTCCCGGCTCACTGCCGAGTTTTCCTCCGCGCTCCGTACAGGCAGGGCATGACGAGATGCCTATGTATTTGCACGTATGTACGGAGTGTATATGCACATCTGTTGTACTCGGTGAGTTGCATGCAACTCCCAACATGATAATGCGTACTCGTGCCCACTCGGCCGCCACCCCTGGGCAAATGGGAAATTTGCAATAACCCTCACGCCTCAAGCGAGCATGGGTTTGGTTTGTCGCCAAGTTCCCCCAAGCACGCACTCCGTATCCTGGCAAAACAAGCCAGGCCCGACATCTTTTTCTCTTCTTCTGGAAAAGGCGCCAGCGGATATTGACCACGGCCTGATCGGCACGCGGCTATTGTACCGTTGTGGTTGCGTAGTACTAGCCTCATCTCCAAAAACCAAAAAGCATCCGATGCCTCCAGCTTTTTTTTCTGGAGCCACGCAGCATTGTGAAGCGGCTTCTCCACCGGTACGGCCCTCTCCTTCGCAGGAGATGCCCCCCCCCCCCCCCCCAGCAAAATCTGTATCCACAACCTCTGGTGGTGGATCGTCTGGACAAGCTGCCAAATGGGTGCCCCCAAGCCGTGGTGTCGGGTCATGGACCACATGGAGGTCATGGCTTTCGAGGCGGAAGGCTGAGAATCCCCCCATCTTCATCTCGACTAATGCCCAGCATCAGCTGGTCCAAGGCAAAGGTAAGGATGAACACCCATGCCCAGGACATGCATGGAGTTGGTTCTCCGCCGCCGAGGCTTCGAATAGTACCATGTACATAGTACTTACTACATGCATACAAGACACGACGACGACGACACGGCCATGGGTGGGTTACGAGTCGTGGGCTTTGAAACCAGGAATAGGTTGGCGCGAACTCCTGGCTCGTTCTCCTCTCCTCGTCTAATCATCAGGGCCTTGGGCGATGCAGGCCGACGATTGGGACACGAAGCTTCTCTCGCCCTTGCGTTCCAAGATTCTACCCTTGTCTGCTCCGTTCAGAAGACGTTGCGACATGGGCCAGGCCGTATTGTAAACTGATGGAGAAGAAGAAGCGAAATCAAATCGGTCTTCGACCCGTACAAGCGAGAAGGGTAAAAAAGATCCGATCGAGGAGATACACACACACACACACACACACACACACAAAAGCGCGCGCGCACAAATTTATTCCTCCAGTCATGAAAAGGCGGTCTTGAATTGGGCCAGCAGAGTCAAATTTTGTCAAGTATTGCAATAAAGTTCTAAATGCTGTACAATAATGTACGACAGGATGTGTGTGACCTGGAGAGTCGTGACTTGTGACCAGCACATTGATATCACCAACTAGCTGATCGAATAAAAAATGATAAAAGAGCAATGCTCGGTTGGAAACAAGCAGTAAAGAAGAATCGAAGACATGAAAAAAAAAGTAAAATAACTCGTGAGGGTGGCAGGGCAAAAACACCCAGCCGCCGATTCACAGTCGTATCCAAGTCGTTCCAAGCAAACAGAGGCTCTGCTCCTCTCGACTTGTCAAGGATTACAACGAGCGTGAAGAAAGCGACAAAAAAAGCTGTCCAACTGAGCAAGGCATGTCTTCCCAAACATGCTCGGCAAATTGCAAAAACCACCACGCACGCCAGTTCCTTTTGATCCAAGATGTATCCCAACTTGTCCGGTCCAAGCATTCTGTAAATAAAACTTTTTTTCGGTCATGATGCAGCGTCGAAATGAATCACTTTGTCCTCCCGAGAAACAGCGTCAACAGGAAGTGTAGAAATTGATACAAGAATCGAAAGTGTAAATGCAGGTCATAAAAACGCTTGTTGCTGTGCAAATGTTGTCTCCAGCCGTCTACCGAGGCGTACCCTACCTGACCAAGCACACGGCAACAAAATGTGTCCTGGCAGCAAGAGAGAAGTGTAAAAGAAAAAAGTATGTCGAAGAAGTAGCTTCCGTCAAGCTAATAAGAACAGCAAAGCATCGTCGAAGGGCTTATTCAGAACGCTTTCGCTTCTTCTTGCCATTGTCACTAGCCTCTTCAGATGATAGCTCACTTGCACTCCCAGGAACATCGGCCGCGATTTGGAAGAGAACCTTGCCATAGTTGGCATAGTCGTCTACAGGAGGGGGAGCGACCATGCCAGCCTCATACGCAGAGGGGTCAGCGTTATCAATAATGTTCATGACAATTGCACCTCCACTGGCGTGAGTGCGGGCATGCTGGGCGAGGTTGTCGCTTCGAGAGAACTTCTTGCCACACTCGTTGCATTCAAAAGGCTTCTCCTGGGTGTGCAGGGATCGATAGTGACGCTTCAAGTGTTCTTGACGACGGAATCTTCGGTTGCACAAGTCACAAACGAACGTCTTAGAAGGATCCTCCGTCAGTGACTGCTTGCGACCCCGTCGGTTGGTAGGAGCTGGCATAGGAGCAGATGGTGTGTCGGCTTCGGCGGAAGAGTGCGACTCAGAAGGCTCTGGCGAAGCCTGTTCAGACTGCTCCTCAACCTCGGCAGTCTGGTTATCCGCCGCCGCAGTGTCCATGACAGGCTCTACACTTTGGCTATCCTTCGTGTCGGTCTTCTTCTGGCGCTTATCCTTGTGGCCGTCGTCGACAGCTTCGACGCTTGAGGGAGGGCTGGGTGACGGGAACTGGAACGTATCGTTCTCGTCGAAGCTAAAATCCTCGTCGGTAATAAAGCTACCGTGTCCCAAGGA